TGCAGGGCTGCACCCCAGCTCCCACAGCCCCTGGATGATGCTGCTCACCCAGCTCAGGCTGCACCCTCACCCTCCTCCTCTTGTCCCAGGCCAGCACTGCACAGCAGCACCGGGCAGAGGAAGGAAGACACATGGGGAGCTGCAGCATCCACCTCCAAGCGCCACAAGGAGCTGCAGCATCCACCTTCAAACCCCACAGGAAGCCACAGCATCCAATTCCAAGCCCCACCAAGAGCAGCGCTGTCCACCTTCAAGTGCCATGGGGAGCTGCAGCATCCACCTCCAAGCCCCTGCAGCCTTCACCTCCAAACCGCATGGCAGCCACAGTGTCCACGTCCAAACACCATAGGGAGCTGCAGCACCTACTGCCAAGCCCCACGAGAAGCTGCAGCATCCACCTTCAAACCCCATAGGGAGCCACAGCATCCAACTCCAAGCCCTGGCGCTGACCTCCTGCCATGCCCCATCATGCCCTTGCTCGCTCGCACACCAGAGGCTCCCGGCTGCTCCAGTGGACACGGGGGCTCAGTGGTGATGGTTAGACCCCCCCTCAGTGCTGTCCCTGGGCTGGCTCCGGGGCAGCTGGGCCCAGTGTGGCTGCAAACACTTGTTGTTGTGAAATTCCTGCCCGTCCTCCTCCCCTCCCGAGCACGCCTGCACGCACGCACAGGCACCGCCAGAGTAATCAGGCTTTAGAGGAGAAAAGCTGCAGGGCTTAGTGGAGCAGGAACCCTCGTCCCCACCCTGCAGCAGCTGGGGGAGGGCAGGTCTGGGAGGAGGGCCCTCGCCTACCCCATTCCTCCCTCCACACTATCCGGCAACCTCCTCTACTACAGTGATGGGGCTGTGTGTGGAAAGCTCTGCCAGCACCCTTGCTCCTGACCAAGGGGTGATGCAGCAGAGCAAGGGGCATCCTCACACCCTGCTCATCCATCACCCTTCATGTCCCCTTGGTCACAGCCAAGCCACATCCCCAGGAGCCCCACTACAGCAGAGTAGTCCTAGCAATTCCACACAGACATGGCTTGGGAGCATCAGTGTTAGAACACCGATGTGGTAAGGTCCCTACGCCAACAGCCCCGGTGCTGGCAGAAGAAGACAGCTTCAGTGTGGTGCCAGAGCCGGCTCGCCTGCAGAGAAACCCCCCCGTCCTCACGCTCAAAACCGCTTGCTTCAGCTGCTGCAGGATTTAAGATGCAGCGCGGATCGATGCAGGGCTTGGGTTCAAGCCTGGAGCTCGCCAGGCCACGTGGCAGGAGGGACAGGCTGCCCTTCCCCAAGCATCGCGCTCCATGGGGATGGTGGGTGCTGGCAAGGCTGGGGTGCACCCTCAATTGGTGCTGCCAGGATGGTGGGGGATCCGTCCCTGAAGGCATTAGGACAGGTCACACCTTAACACCGAAAGCAGCGGGCGCTGGGGCCGGAGCAGGGAGCGGGGCAGGAAAAGCACCGGGCGGGAGGATGTGAGATAAAGCCGCCAGTCGCCGTTATCTCGTGCCTGCTTTTCCTGCGTCCCGGCGTCTCTTCCGCCTCGTGGCGTGGCCCAGCACCGGGTCAGGCTGGGGTTCACCAGGCCGTTGTAACCACCAAGCCATGGTGCTGCTATGGCCTTAGCCAGGGGTCTCCAGGAGCGCACATTGCTCTGGGAATGAGCCCAAGTGGTGCCCAAAGGATGGCGGTGTATGGGGCTGAAGTGAGGAGGACACTGGCTGGAGGCATGCTGTGGTGGCCATCTCCCATCAGTTCCCATCTTCCTCTGGTCTGGGGTACCAGCCAGCCCTTCCCTGCTGCTCCCACCCTGCCACACCAACAGAACAGCCCCCACCACTCGCAGCCTTCTACAACCAGGGCTGATGGCAACAGAGGATAGAGCATCACCCCTCTGAGCACCCACTGCTGCTGCCCACCCCACGCAGCTCCCCCAGTACCCATGGGGACAAAGGGGACACCACCATGTCTCCTCTCGTCCCCAGTGGTACAAGGGGATGCTACACCAAGCAGTGCCACCACACAATCCCACCATTGTCCCCACCACCACACTGCCTCCAGCAGCTCCTGCCATCAGCTACCACTCAGCACTGCCCTCCATGCTCCTGGGGCCATTATCCTGCCCAAGTGGGATGGGTATGTCCCCATGCCATCTCCCCTACAGGGACCCAAGGACCTGCTTGCTGTGGGGTGCCTGGTGATGTGCCCCCAACCCAGCCCAGCAGACATCTCAGCAGCTCCTTGCCAGCCACTGCCCAGCCAGGTTGCTAATTGCAGCGGGGGGGAGGAATTAATGATCTTAATCCCTTCTTTATGATTGACCTGAGTAAAGACTGCGAGGGCCCCTCCTGCCCTGTCCCATTTCTACCCCTTTTCAGGCCCCCATCCCCTGGGGAAGGTGCCGGGCAGCGTCATCTGGGTCCCTGTCAGAAGGTGCTTAGTCCCAGCCGTGGCATTAAGGGGCACGTGATGGGCTCCCTTGCCTGGGTCTTTGCACAGGGCAGCTTAAGCAGCCTGGAGGGATGCCAGGGTTCAAGGGGACACCACCAAGGTCGGGAGGCCCCAGTGCACACCCAGCCCTCCATCCCTTCACAGGACCTTGCTCTCCCCCCCTACAATGCCCCTGGCCAGGTACAGGTTCTCCTGGGGCTCAACAGACTGGTGAGCAACAACCAGGCAATGCCATTACTTGGGTGCCCCAGCTCCACGCTCCCTGCTCCCACCAAGGCCCTTTTCCATAGAACACCCCAAAAAGCTGCCCACCGCCACCCCAGGTTGCTTGGCAGCAGCCTTTTCCCATGGTCTGGGTGGACAAAGGGAGTTTTCCTCCAGCCAGACCTTTCCCTGGAGCTCATCCCAGCAGCTCGCACCCCACATCCCTGCTCCATCTGCCCCAGAGCTGCCCACATCCCGCACAGATCCTGTGGGACCACACTGGAATAGTCCTAACAACTCCAAAACACAAAATAATATAGGTTACAAATGGATCTCTGGCAGTCCAGCACCAGGAACCATCACCAGCGATGGACTGAGAGTCCCCCTGATTGTGGGCACCATTCCCCATCAGATGGGAGCAGGACAGGAGCTTGGCTTCTCATACAGAAAACGCCAAACTGCAAATCCCAGCCCGCTTCCCTGTGTTATTTCACTGCATCGCTGGAAAACCATTGGCTCCTGCTGGTGCAGAAAGTCTTGCCTCCAAGAAAGAACTTCTCCTTTCCTTTAATTTTAAGTAAATCAAGCTCCTCCTGGAAAAGCCGCCGGTCGGTCAGCCGTGGAGAAGGAACCGGCAGAGCTGACGCCGAGCTGCTCCCGGGCTCTGGAGACAAAGGCAGAACATACAAATTCGGCTTTCTCCTAATCCCTGGGCACTGGGTGGGCGCGGGGGAACGTGGCTTTGTCCGCCCGGAGCAGACGGAGGATGAGGACGGAAGGGACCCCGGCGTCTTTTCAGCCTCGAGAAAGGCGGTCATTGTCCCCTCTGCCGGGTTTTTGTCCCCACTTCCTCCCCCTCGCCACGCGGCCGCCTGCCCGGCGCGGCCCCCCCTCCCAGCAGAGCCCTGCTGATGGACACACGGACCCACGGACAGACAGATACAGGCAGATCTAAGGAGGGCACTGACCACCGGCACTAGCCCCTCCCCAAGGCATCCCAGGAAGGGTGTAGCGTGAGGGATGCTGTGGCTGAAGGAGCCAGAGAGGGGCCAGAGGTGGGCCCCGTGCTCCTCAACCACCATGGACAGGACTGCAGGGCCATGGGTAGTGGGAGAGATGCATGCGATGTTCCAAGACACCCTTGAGCATCCTCGTGTCTAAAGCACACCCTGGGATGAGAAAAGCTAGCAGGTAGAACAGGACCACCACCCTGCAGCATCATCATGGGTCAGAGGGCCCAAGATGCAGCTCAGAGGCTCAGGAGAACAAGCACCACCAGAACAAGGTTTGAAGCAGCTCCAATCCCAGCACCACAACACCCCACTTCAGCTCCCAGGTACCTGATTTCCACAGCACAGTCAAACCTGCTGCTCCCTCCGCTAGTGACACAGGTCAACTGAAGATGCCTCACCTCAGCCTCCTCAACAAGAAGTCAGGCAGCAGGCACCAGACCAAAGGTCTCCTCGACCACACAAGGAAGCACAAGGAAGTTTTTGAGCTGCCAGGGACTCAGCCAGGCGAGAGGCAGCCATGACTACCTCACCTCTGCGCTGCTGCTTCCCCAGAGTGCAGAAACAAGGTGAACCAAGAGAGAAATCAAGCTTCCATCTCCCAAGGCTGAATATCTTTCAGGACACCCATTCCGGGAGAACATGGTGCTTGGTAATCAGGCACAGGCACCCTGAGGCAAAGACAAGGACATTGTTTGCAAGCCATCGCCTCTGTCAGCCC